TTATTAGAGGCATGCAGGGGTCTGTGAAAAAGAACCAGGAAAAAAATCTGAAATATACAGTGATTTAAAAGTGACTTTCTTTCCTATTTGTTTATTTGAATCAGACCACAAGACATTTTAATTGATTAAAATTACTTAATTTCTCTAGCCTTGGGGCATACAGGATTTTGCATGTCTGTTCTTAGGATTATATTTATAATTGTGGATGTACAGTCATTGGTGATAATTTAATACATTAAATGGTTTTAGTATATAAAAGAGGAACATTTACTAATATTCTACAGGGTTTAAAAGTTGCCAGTCACTCTAAGCTGCTAGTCACTTTTCAAAACTGATGTGATCAGAACTATTGATTATTGTTCTGTTTTACAGCTTAAAACACTTGCAGTCTTGACTAAGCTAAGCAACTGTGTTCCGTCATTCCTTCAGTACAGGTCATGTTTCTAAACCTCCCATTTTCCTTACTATCCTGTCAATAATTCTGTTTGACTACTTCTTGATGATAGAGTATTCCAGACAACTCTATAAATGCAAAATGAAGTAGACATATTCCCATATTTTTGCCATGCAGGTTGTGTCTTATTGCATGTAGCTACCTGTGTTTTTCTATTCGGAATTTACATTCTGATCTAGAGTTCAGGGACCTCCCTAGCCTGGGGTTATCTGTAGACTTACAAATACACTCTTAGTTCTGCCATCACTGGGCCTGTTCTTGATAAAGTTGAACAGGAGGACTGGGAACTGACTAGAAGAAGCCAGAGTATGCAATGCAAGGCCAGCAGCCCTCAGGGCCAGGCACCAGGGGCCACAGAGGATCCTCCTCGAGCGGCAGACAGGGCCTGGCAGCCCATTCCATGCCACCAGCCCTGCTAGAGGCTGCACAGCTGGTGGCTGTCAGGTCCATCAGTGCTCTCAGCTCTGACAGGCTGCTCTAGGAGGGGACTGCCGGCGGTGAGCCAAGTGTGGGCACAGCACTGAGAGTGGTCTTGCCAACTGGACACAGTCCTGCAACATGGACTCAGAAGGACTGGGTTGGTGATATTGACAGTCACAGCAAGGCAAGGAATGAAAATAGATCCAGGGTCCAGATATGAGGAGCAAGACACATCTGGAGACAAGACTACAAAGTAGGTCCAAGCTCTGCCAAGGAGATAGGACTGGAGAAAAGACAATACTATGCTACCTTCCACATAGGTCCTCAGTAAATGCAGGAAAATCAGTCAGCAAGACTGGGCTGTAGGAATCAGGCTGGGAATGAGTTCAACATTTGAATAGCTCGGGCTTGTGCTATCCCAGAGCCCCAGAGCTGTCAGAGAGGGTACATGGAGCTGGGGTGGATAGGTTGGCCAGGGGAGAGCTCTGACAGAGGGAAACAACTGAACAGTGATGGCAAACTTGTAACCAGAAAATTCCTTAAACATGCTAGAAACTACAATGTAAACATCATTTTACCTAGAGCATAGCTTTTCTGAGCAAAGCCAGTGCCCACAGAAACACCATGCAGTTAGCAACAGCCAGTTTTCTCCCCAAACTCTGTTGATGTTCCTGGTTCAGAATGTGCAAGCCAAGTCTTGAAGCACAGAAGGAGGTGCATCCAGACCTGGAGCTCCTCCCAGGCTGAAGGTACATGTTCTGTCCCGTTTCCTTCGAAGCTATCAGGCCTTCAACGACAGGAGTCCCTTGCTGCTCTCATTTATGGTTCAAGCCCAGAAATAATGTATTAAGCCATTCTTATTTATTTTAGAGTCTATTCCAAACATCTTTGTGTCAGCTTTGCCATTTTTTTATTATAGAATCTTTTATCATTTCCTTTTTTGATCCCTTAGAAATAGCTGGGAAGATAGTTTTCCTTCCATTAACACTTTCTGGACTATCACAACTGCCACAGAGCTGCTGCCATGACAAAGCTTCTGACGCCGGTATCTGTGTGCACATTCCTTTTCCCTAATAAATGAAAGGTAATTCAAAATACTGCTCTCAGTGAAACAGCAATGAAGCAAATTACTCTTCCTCTTGTTCTGGAATCTTAAACACAATTATGATGGAGTAGCTAATCTAGGTTACCCTATTAGTAAAGGTAAGTACACCAGACAAGTAAGTATTTGTTTTATGATAACGGAAATTACTCAAATCTTGGGACTACTTATCTTCCCACCAATAAATCTGTTTTTCCTTTGCTTTGTCCATACACAATGAAACATAAAAAGTGACTCTGAAGTAGGAATAAAAGAGAGAGAGAGGCAGGCTGCCAGAGAGTACACACAAGACACTGCAACAAATCACTCCAGCACTCTACTGTAATTAGAGACAGGATACACATCTGTGGTCTTTTCTGACAAACTAGATCATGTTGTGAGAACTCCTGTTTTGCTCAGATTCATACTACATCATCAAAACCGGTTGTGCGAAAACAGAGATTAAGGTGGAAGAGAATTTTACACTACTTTTACACTACTTGAAGCTCACAAGCTGCCTCTGGACAGTGCCAGGCAACTGGATGAAACAAATATGACTTGTACCCACTGCATCTGGAAATCAGGCATAGAATAGGCTCATGACAGCTAAGAGATAGGTCCAAAAGACTACAGAAATTCCTTTGATTATACATTTGTTTTGCTAGATGGTTTTGTATGCTTTGTTGCCATCCTGTGTCAACCAAAATATTTCTTTGCCAAAGCCAAAAGGTGAAGAGAGTTTAATTTCTCGTTTTTAATAAGGTGTACAGTGTCCCTGGGACAAGCTGTTACTTTGACAGTAAGAAGCAGGAAATCAGAGGAGAATGTAGGCAGGCATGATTTTTGTAACATGTAACATGTTAGGTGAAGTTTAAGTGGCTGATTACTCCCATTGGGTAGAGGATCCAAGGCAAGCCTAAATCCACTAAACTTTAATGTATGTTTGATCTCTGATATATCTGCATTTAATTTTTAAAAATTATGGCCATGGAAACCACAACAGCATGAGAAAGAAAAAGAAGGCAAGTCCCATAGATCCTGGCAAAAGCCTCCCTATAGTACAGTTGGGCAGTGAGGTGGTGTTTCCAGATCTGGGAAAGGTCAGTGGGATTGAATGAAGCACACAGTACAGAACCCTGAGATTGCCCCACTCCCCGTTCTGGTGATTTGCCCTCAGAGATCAATAAGACCTCAAATGATTATGTATGAAATAATACAGTTGTGTCCCATGACTGGTGTAATAAGTGGATGAGAATTTTTATCTTGTCTATGGTTCTGAAAACAGGAAGACATGCTATTCCTCATGAATGCCAGGCAATGTTACCCTGAGTGTGTTGGACAAGTGTAGGTTTTGCAGGTTGTAGCAACTGTGGTAATGTTGTACTTGCTGACTCTCAGCTATGCCAAACAGTATAATGGTGCGTCTCATTTCCACTGAGGACAAGATGGGTGGGACAGGACCAGATGGGCTAGCAGCACAGAAGTGGGTGTGTTTCCACTCTCAGAACCTGTACTGCTTTGTGGCTTTCTTCCTCATGAAATGTGTCATTAACTCTTGGCTGGGAAAGAACGTGATCCCACTGCTGAAAGATGGCAACCTGGAACACCTTGGTAGCAGCCTTGAGCAAGACAGTCTGGCTTACACCATGCTGGAGCTGTCTCCCTTAGCACTGACCAAAGTGGTCAACAACTACAGAGCCCCATGTGTGACTTGACAAGACTAAATCACAACTTTTGTCTCATTTGTGCCTCTGTGGACTGTGTATCTCTCTTGCTCATTTGCCTTGAAATTCAGTGATCTGCCTGTGACTTTGTTGTCATTTAGGTTGGTACAGACACCAAAATGTGGTGCTGAATGGTGGCTCTTAGGGCTGCAGGTGAGTTACAGATGTGAGCAGTGTATCAGAAGGACATAACTGAACAGGGCAGAGGACAGCCAGTGTTTCTAAGGGAATTCATGCAATGCAGTGTGAAATTCTCTTGGACACTCTTGTGGGTACTTCAGCTTGACTCCTCTCTGGGACACTCCCAAGGATACCCCATCCTAAATGGGTTAACTGTAGCTGATGAGATTCCTCACTTACACAAGATCTAACTGCTTAACATAAGCCCATAAGATCAGGATTTATATTATATTTCTTTATGGCCATAGTATCATTTGCTTACTTTAAAAGGATGTATTGAGGGGATTCATTACATTTAGGAAACACATACTGGTGACCTGACTTCAAGTATTTTTAAAGAGTTATATCAAAATAGTATCTAATGTATTGTACTCAAAACATTTTAATAATTCTAATGGAGCTGGAGGGGGACTAATTATCCAAGAATATTGAAATCTAACTTATACAGTGCATAGGTTACATTTTCAAGTTTCCTTCTCTAAAGATTACAAACATTTATGTTGACATTTTTCTTCTTGTATACCTACTTAAGGTGACAATAATTGCACTTTATTTCTGTCAAGGTTAGGGTTTTCCCCCCATTTTTTTTTCTTTGGTGAATGGCTTTTATCTTGTCTGATGATGTGAGAAATGCTACTCTCTCCTCTTTTGCTCTATCCTGTCATTTTCAAAATCATTCTTTTGAACTTTCAGTGCTTCTTTAACTGCTTTACATTTAGTGCATATCTAACTTGCGGTCAGTGAATATTTGCTTGTTGCAAAGGTCTGCTTTAACTTCACTGCTTTCACAGGTGAGTTAGTATGGCTCTTACTCAGCCCCCTTCCTCCTGTTGCTTTCTGCAAAGTTGCCGGGAGGAATGGTCGGGGTCCGACGTTCTGCCGCTGCCTTTGGAAACGGCTCGACGGGCCGGTGCCGCTGCCGGCGCGGCTGTCGGCCCGGCCGGGCAGAGCGGGGCTGGGCAGGGCAGGGCTGGGTTGGGTAGGGCAGGGAGCCCGCTCGCCCCGCGCAGTCCCGGCCGCCCGCGCAGGCGGCCCCGGAGCCCCGGGCTGCGGCCGCGGGGAGCCCCGGGGGACGGGCGCTGCCGGGGAACGCGCCCCGGGGGACCCCGCGGGAGGCCTGCGGAGGAGCGGGGCCAGGTCCAGGATGGCCGGCGGGGTGAGAGCGGGGCCGGGGCGAGGAGAGGGACCCTGCCCGATGGCGAGGGCGCTCAGGGCTTGCTGAGACCTCTCCTGACCCCGCTTAGTGAGGAGGCGGCGTTGTCCAGCACAGGTGCCGCCTTTCCCCGGCAGTTTCTCCCGGCGGGGCACCGTGGTCCGCCCGCGCAGCTCTGGGATCTCCTCGTCTCCGCGGAGAAGCGGGGGACAGAGCGGGATCGGACGGCGGAAGATGCTGTGCCTCACGGTAGCCTTCCAGCTGCTGCTGCTGCTGCTGGTGCTGGTGCTGGTGCTGTGCAGCCAGGGTACAGAGAGCTGTCCTTCAGCCTTCTGCGAGTGCTCTGACTGGGAGGATTACAAAATCACTTGCAGGGACATCTACTTTATTCCCAGCCTACCGGAGGACACCCAGACCCTGTGAGTATACTGGGATGTTTTAGGGAAGCCAGCTGTGAGTATTCATGCTTTGCAGGCAGGAGATGCTCTGAGCTTATGTCCTGTGCGATGAAGAAGCGGGGAGAGGGGACAGGCGCTTCAGATTACCTGGGCGGTACAGGATAGCGGGAACGGCGGTGTGCAGACTGCGTGTGGCAGGAGGAGGTTGGAAAAGTGACTCTCAAACCTTAAAGAACTGTGAAGAGATGCTTCATTGGATCTTAAGAGTTCTGTGGAAAATGTGGGAAAATAAGTAACTGGACTGTTTGTGGGCAAAGTGAGCAGTAGGCTGGATTCTGTGTGGCAAGTTCTTAGGGGATGTGGGGAAGGAAAGGTAGATCAAACACGATTTTCTGATTAAAAACCAATAGGAACTGGATGTGTCACCTCACAAAGACTTCCACAAAATCCTCTGTGCATTTTCAGCTTCTTTATCAAAGCCGGAAAAGAAAAAGAATCCGTGAGAATTGAGAATCCAAGTATACTGTCTGGGAGACAGGTTACTTCAGATGAAAGTGTGGAGTATGGGATAAAGCAGCAAATTTAGAGTCTGCCAGAGTGATAGAGTAATTCAGGTAGCTCAGCCTAAGTGTTTGGTACATTTGGGGCACAGCAGATCTTGTCTGGGCTCCTGCTGCCAATCCAGATGAGCATCTTGTGTCATATCTGTCAGTCAAATACTGTAATGAGACTGAAATGGCACCTGTCAGCTAAAACAGAGTAGATTAATCACTCCTGACTTTTACTTTGTTTCTGGAGGTACAGAAGTTTTATAGGCTCTAAGGGAAGGTTCACTTATAAATAGAGATTACTTTCTGATAAAGTAAATTAACTCAAACTCAGTTGATTTAATTGCAAGGTAAACTAGTAACAGATTGATTCCTTTATGTCTTGATAATGATTCTCAGGACTTTATATAAATAAGAACCATTAAATTATTTGCACTTATTTGAATGCTTTTCAGATTTTTTAACACTGAAATTAAAAGCTTAAATTGGCCACTTGCCTTGAAAGAAAGAAAACATATTTGTGTTATTTCCATTATTTTTGCTTGCCTTTAATTTTTTTGGATGGTTAGACTGAAGTATTTCAGCTAATAGATTTTAAAATATACACTTTTTTTTTTTATTATACTTTTATATACACCGTTTATTTAGGTTGAAATTGCAGTAATGTTATGACATGTACCAAGCAGTATGTTCTTTGAAATCTACCATGATAAATTAGAAAATACAGCAGTTGCAGTTTATAGGAGAAAATGCCTTTGTACAGACATTTAAAATAGTTAATAGAAACAATGAGAGCACATAATGAAATTTGATACTCTCCTTGAAATATTCTGGTTTGATGGCTGAGAAGTACCTCTCTGCATACAGCTCCACAAATAAAGCACTTTGACCACTGGAATTCCAGTGTTTTAAACACCTGTAGTAATGGCAAATGTAAAATAATAAGCCACTGTTTGAAAAGACAAAAACACCCTGTGAAGATCTTATTTCCCTGGGAAAAGTAAAAGTTTTCTGTTTATTTGGGGTGAAATTTAATCACGTGCACCTATTAGAGCGACCATTGCAAACTTCTCAAGATGAGTACTCCCTGCCATGTCAAGAAAATATTCCAGGTAATGACAATTGTGGTTTTACAGTATATGGTAGAAGTTGTAGAACATGTGCTGCATAGTCTTTTATTTGAAAGCAAATGGGAGAATTATCTGAGGAAATAAGGAAAACAGAGGTCTTTTCACACACAACCTCCCCAAACAAACAAACAAAACATAACCCAACCAAACACAATATAAACCACCACACTTTTTACTTCAGTTTGAAGTTTTCTCTCTGGATAAAATGTGTTTATTTTCCTTCTGTTCTCTTATTTGAATTGCTGAAGTCTGGTGGACTGTATTCAATTCTGTAGTCCCTTGCTCTCTGCAAATCTCTTAATATTTCTTTCCCTCCATGTTAAATGGGAGTCATAACATTTACCTATATGTGGATTTTATTCAGAGTGCTTTCAGATGCCTCAGACTGGGTTATTTGCACATGGCAGTTAAAACAACAGGCAGAGTTTTGTGAGATTGTAAAGTGCATGACCCTGATTCCGTCGTGTTTTCATCCTCTTGCCGTACAATAGGCAGCAGTTCTGAATCAAAGACAAAAGACTCCAAAATAATTGAAGTTTCTGTTAACCTTAAGAAGAAATAAACACTTCTTTGAGGTGAAATATGTAGCTGTACATGTTGCACATTTCATGTTGCAACTCTCTACAATTTTCCCTAAATGCAGCAAGTTTGTTACTTTAGGCAGGTAATTCTGCTTCTTGGTAATAACGAGTGAACCTCAAGATTGCCAATTCAACAAATTTTTGTGTGGCTATTCAGTTTTGTAGGGTTTGTAGGACTAAGACTGGCGAGGGAACACTTTGCCAGCTTTTGGAGATGATGAGCTCTTTTCAATGCACAGGATCTTGAAACTCCAATTAAAGTTTCATTCTGTCTATTCAGTCAGAACTGTTCTCATTTCTCTTTTACTATTTTAAAAGAATGGGGTGAACAATTTTTTAAGAAATGCTTACAAAAAAAATCCAATAAAAGTTTATTTCTAACTCTTTTAGTAGAAAAGTGACATGAACTTAAGCCAGAAAAGTGTGTTTATTTTAAACTGTTATTTATCCAAATATAATTAATGGAGGTGCTTATCCAGAATTCCTGAATGCACAGATATTGATCTTGGAGATGACTTTTCAGTATAAGATATTTTCTGCTTACTTACACATACAGATCACCAAACCCACACTCAATATTTTTCCAAAGATATAAATGCATCATAATTCTTGAATTATTGTAATATGCTTCTTGGTATCATTATGACGACATATTCGTATCACTATCCCAGCATCACCTCAATGCACTTCTCAATAATTTTTATTTTGTAAATCTATTTTTACTTGCTTTTAATTATTTTTCTTTGAAAATAAAACTAATAAAGTTTTGCTTCTTATTCAGTGTGCATTACATCTCCTGCATTCACTTACTAAAATAACTTAATCTCTCTCTTCTCCCTTCCCTTCCCTTCCCTTCCCTTCCTTCCCTTCCCTTCCCTTCCCTTCCCTTCCCTTCCCTTCCCTTCCCTTCCCTTCCCTTCCCTTCCCTTCCCTTCCCTTCCCTTCCTTCCCTTCCCTTCCCTTCCCTTCCCTTCCTTCCCTTCCCTTCCCTTCCCTTCCCTTCCCTTCCTTCCCTTCCCTTCCCTTCCCTTCCCTTCCTTCCCTTCCCTTCCCTTCCCTTCCCTTCCCTTCCCTTCCCTTCCCTTCCCTTCCCTTCCCTTCCCTTCCCTTCCCTTCCCTTCCCTTCCCTTCCCTTCCCTTCATGGCTACACATTTTGAAATAATATTTTAGTTGCAATTAATTAATTTAAAAATATGTGGTTATTTTCATTTGTAAAATTATTTGACTATTTCTGAAGAATAGTTTTGAACTTTTGAACCTTTCTTAAATAATTAATTTTTTTTCCCAAACATCATTATACTTAGCAAATACATGAAATCATTTTAATAATCGCCTTTCAGGTAATGATTGAAATAACTCTATGCAACGTAAAATGTTTCCTAAATACTGTATTTTACATAAAATGAAACTTTCTTGTCAATTCTGATGCTTGTTATTATATTTACCTGCGTATTTTGCTTAGAAAGGCATCATATTGCTTCTATAATTCTGCTGTTAACATACAACAATCCTGCATTTGACATACAGTAGGTCCAATACACTAGGTTGAAAAATTTGTATGTATTATTGTCTCAGTTAAAGTGAAATGTAAAAGTGAAAGGATTTGTTCATAATCCCAATGGTAAATTGAAGCACTGTTCTAAGGGTTCTTGAAGTAATGTACAAACTGTGTGCTGCTTTACTGTGCATACACAGGCCAACTCAAACTGAGATGAAGAACAGGAATGAGGGACTAAGGGAACAGAGAAACTACTAAAGGCCAAAATAATATCTTGTGAATGTTGAATATAATATTTTCTTTCATTCCTTATCAGTCATTGTATTAGTAACATTTCTTGTACGTTTGGAACATTTAAATTTCTCGT